ACACACACACACACACACACACACACACACACACACACACACACACAAGTTGAGCAGAAATGAGGAGACTGTGGCGCCTGAATAATTTTTGACACACCTGTCTGGCAGCAACATTAGCTTTTAGGAAAAAGGCAAGCATCGAGACTTAGAGCAGAATTCACCTCAGCTGGGTTGACTTGAAGCACAACACATTAAATGTGTGATATCTCCCTCACATCTTTAAAACATGATAAATTAACTAAATTTAGTGATGGCGTACCACTTAAAGAGAACTCTCCCATACTTTAAAAATGTCTGGTCTAATTTGAGGCATCCTGGTGACCTTCAGAGTTTTGACTGTAAGCTCTGGCAACTTTCTGATAACACAACTGTTTCAGTTGTGGTGCCACCACTTATGCCTTCTGGTGCTATCTCTCATCAAACAGAACAATTTACTTTGTACACACCCATCACTGATCTGCACGTGGACCTAATTACATCTTAATCATACCATTCTAAGTTTGAACCTTGTATTTTCTGTGCTGCTGCCTTTTTATTCTTAAATCTGACTATTTACCATTTTTCTGACAGGTAAACCTTTTCTTAACACCAAGCCCATTAATTATGCCACCTCAAATGTTATCTCAGCTCTGCTGTTTGGGAGAAGGTTTGATTACAAAGACCCGGTCTTTCAAGCTATGGTGCGAAGAGAAAATGAGATCATCCGTCTGACGGGATCAGCTTCTGTCTGGGTATGAGAAATATCCATCTATCCATTATCTTTTCCTCTTTCTTCCTTTTTGGGTGATGGGTGTCACTGGTGCTCATATCCAGCAGTCGCTGTGTGAGGCGAGATACACCCTGGACAGGTCTCCAGTCCATCACAGGAACACATGGAGACGAATAAGACAACCATTCACACTCTCACTCACACCTAGGGACAATTTAGAGTTACCAATCAGCCTAACATGCATGTTTTTGGTCTGTGGGAGGAAACCGGAGTACCCGGAGAAAACGCACTCATGCACGGAGAGAACATAAACACTCCACCCAGAAAGATTAGTCTGGGATTACAGTATGAGAATTACTTCAAGATAAAAATTTAATTGATTTAATAAAAAACAACTGGTGGATATGTGTAAAAGACAGCTGCTGCAGGTTTGCAAATATTTGTTTTAGGGGTATAGGTGGTGGTGTTTTTTGTTTTTTCCCAGGTGTGTCAACTTAATTTCATGCTGAATGTCTTCTAGATTTACAACTTTTTTCCTTGGCTGGGCCCTCTCCTTAAAAACTGGAGGGATTTGATCACAAATGTGGAAGACAACAAGGCAGAGGCAAGGAAGATAATAGCAGAACTAAAGGAATCTCTGGATCCTGAGGTGTGCAGATGTTACGTTGATGCATTTCTGATCCATAAGAAACATCTGGAGGTGAGTATTCAAATTCCAGTCTGGTCCATGGTTTTAAAATTTGATTTTTTTTTCTCCCTTTTTTTAAATTTGGGTTCTATTAGGATTCTGGAATGAAGAACGTGTATTACCATGATGATAACCTGCTGTACAGTGTGACAAACCTGCTTGAAGCTGGAAATGACACCACAGCAAATACATTGAAATGGGGTCTCCTTCACATGGCCAAGAATCCTCATATTCAACGTACAAAAATCAGTTTGTATTTATTTATTTTCATACCGTACTGGTACACTCATTAGATTTCATTTTAATGTGCATCCAGATCGTGTTCAGGAGGAGCTGAGCACAGTGGTTGGAAGCCGACAGGTTCAAATAGAGGACAGGAAGAACTTGCCGTACACCGATGCTGTTGTCCATGAGATACAGAGACTTTCAAACATCTTCCCCATCAGCCTTCCTCATGCAACAAGTACAGATGTCACATTTCAGGGCTACTTCATCAGAAAGGTAAGCTGCTCATACTGATCTGAGCAGGTTTTGTCCCCATAGCTTCAGAAATCAAGTTACTTTGAGGCCTACAGTTTTTTTTTGTTTGTTTTTTTTTTTTACCTCCAGGGAACAACAGTTATTCCTCTTCTCACTTCTGTCTTGTATGATGAGAGCGAATGGGAGAGCCCTCACAGCTTCAACCCTTCTCATTTCCTGGATGAGGAGGGTAAATTCATCAGGAGAGATGCACTCTTGTCTTTTTCAGCAGGTATTTTGCAGAATTATCTTTTTAATTCTAGAGCTTTAGCAAACTCCAACAGAGGAGAGCTTGTTAAATACTATACATCTTCTTGCAGGTCGCAGAGCCTGTCTTGGGGAGAGTCTGGCCAAAATGGAAGTTTTCCTCTTCTTCACCTCTCTTCTTCAGCGCTTCCGTTTCACTCCTCCACCTGGACTCTCAGAAGATGAGCTGGATTTAACACCAGTTGTCGGCTTCAGCCTCTGTCCTCGACCTCAGAAGTTGTGTGCCGTCCAACGCAAGTGAAGCAAATCTACATCTGTTTTATTTGCAACTGTAAGAGGAGCTTCTCTTTGATCCACACAAATGGCACTTTTAGACATGTACATTGGGGTTAGTTACAATCTAATGTACATTTTAACATGTACATTGGGGTTAGTTACAATCTAATGTACATTTTAAAGGTGTATTTAGCAGAGAATGATTTTTAATATACCTATGCATGAAATGTTTTTTTGATTACAGTACTATCTGGTAGAGTAGTTTTCGATTTTAAACAGCAGCCTTGATTGTTTTAAATATTTTTTTTAATGATTTTATAATAAAAACAAAGAGGAAACTGATTATTAACCAGTCTGATTATTGATTTGCTTACACTAACTTTAGAGTCGATCTTTGATGTTCATAATAAAATGGTTATTAGATCTCCTAAATTAAACACAGATGGTACTGTTTCAGTAGTTTACTTTTTTTTACTTCAGTAGTTGGACTGAACACCTCTGTAATTAAACCAAATCTAATATTTCGATTATGTTTAAAGAGGGATGCTTTGTCTCTTGAATCCGGAGCAACCTAATTTAATTATTTTAAATTTGGTTCTCTTCCTGGGTTATAGAAAAACTGGGTCTGACAACATCGATAGGTTTTATGGGTCCTTTTCAGAGAAGGTTGGGTCAAAATAGAGTTCTTTGACTTTTTTTTTTTTTTTTTTAAACTCCACCTGAAATTTCAGAAACTGAACTGGATATAAAATAAGTAGCAGGCTCTAAGGCCATGAGCTGAGCACCTTTTTTAAAAAATGGGCAAACTTTTTTTAAT